GTCCTTTGTGATTTTCTTACATGTTTTGTACCGTGAGACTCAGTTAGCTAGCATTATTTGCATGCTGTGATCTGTGTTCTTCAAGTGATGAAGCCTCTGCCTGACTCATTCTTTGCCTTTTGTTAGTGAGAGACCATGTGTACCTTGTCAGCACCTTTTCATCCTGCCACTAGCCTGATCAGAGCCTTCTCCTTCACAGCTCTTCTCATTTGGAACAGTTCCTGTATCTCACCACCTCATCAGCTCCCCACCTTATTCCAGATATTTGCTGAAAGCTTCTCTCATGCTTCATCTCTGATTCTTCACTTTTTCTCCCTGTGCTGGATTGAACTCTTGAATCATATTCAAAGGATACATAATCATTTCTCTGGTATATAATCTCTCTAAAATATCAGACCTGAGTTGCCAGCATCTTTTTGCCTAAGCTTGTCCTGTGGTTCAGGTGTTGGACTGGGCCTCAGTTCCTCATCCCATAAAGTGAGGATAATACTTTCTCTTAGCTATTTAGGTATTAAGCTCTTAGAAAAATGATTCCTGCCCCAGGTGAATCTACAGCACCCAGCATCAGTTGGAGCCTCAGGCTATTCTTTAGGACCACAGTGGCTTGCATTTCCTTCTGAGCTTAACATGTTCCTTAATTAGCTATGCAGGAGCTGTCACTGGGGGAAACGTGACACCCCCTATTCTAAAACAACGAATAGTCTTGCAGCATCTTAGAGACTAACGAAATATGAGATGGTATCATGAGCTTTCGTGGGCACAATCCACTTACTCAGATGAATGGAGTTATTAAAGGTCTAGTTTCTAAATAAATAGGGAAAGGGGAGAGGGAAAAGAAGGGGGAAAGAAATCGTCAATTAGTGTCCATGCTCCATGAAGCTGAGTATCTTCTCTATCATAGACTCTCTAATGACTATTTCTTTCCCCTTTTTTCTCCTTCTTTTTTCTTTCTCTCCCCCCAACATCCCCTATTGATTTAAAAACTGGACTTTTAATAATTCCATTCATCTGAAGAAGTGGGTTGTGCCTACAAAAGCTCATGATACCATCTTCTACATGTTTCATTAGTCTATAACGAATAGTCTTGCATCACCTTAGAGACTAACTCAGCTACCCTTCTGAAACTTCCTATTATACCAACCTTCCAAGATCTGACTGTGCTCCCGGCCCACAGTTTGCCAAACCAAAATTGGCATTTTAAAACAGGATGAAAGAAGACATTTTTAAAACCCAGGTATTTATAGGACGAGTCTAGGAAATTTTGCTGTTTCCTAAGGACACTGTCACTCCCTGCCTTGCATCTCATTTTTCCAGAGCTGCAAATATAGAGATTTTAATGAAAGAATGTAAGGTTTTGCTCTTATGCTGACACATGCTAGGTCTCTTTATTCTTTTTTTTTTTTTTTGACTAGTTAGCAACAGAACCCAGAATAACGAGCAACATTATAATAATGTTAATTGTTCAGAATATTCCACCTCATCCTTGTCCTCATGAATGGATATAATTATTAATCATTTGCCAGAGAGGTACAAAGTAAAGTTGGGGGGTGGGGGAGGCAAATTGAATCAGTAAGCTAAAATTTACATGCATCTTGTTCCCTCCTTCCACTTTTTAGCCCCTTTTCTCTCTCCTGTCACATGTGACTTAATCTGTTAATCAGATCACTTTACACATTTCTGTCTGATGTTTCCTTTTTTTGTTCCCGTCACTCTAAAAAGCAGCACTGTTCTTTTCATTCTTTCCCCTTCAACTCATCCTGTGCAGACCACCCCTTTGTCCTCTTCCATGTCTAGTTCCTTGCTATATGAGAGGTAGCAGTTCAGGGGGTGGGCGCTCTGGCTCCCCCGTGGCACAAGGGTCCTTCCATGGCGGCAGCCCCTGTCCACAGGGGACCCAAGTTCCCTTGCAGACAGAGGCTGCTCTGGCATCCCACGGAGAAGCCTCTGTCTGTGGAGAGCCCAGGGCTGCAGGCAGGAGCCGGTCTGTGCAGGAAGCCAATTTTTAAATCAGTTCCCCTCACAAACCAGCTCCACCTGCCATCCGACGTTGCTGCCTCAGATACAGAGGCAGCAGTGAGGGGTCGTGGGGGCTCCCGAGAGTGGCGCCAGGAGCATACTGGCTGCTGGCCCCACCCCGGGAGTATTTTAGTAACCATGTAACTGATCATATTTTTTGCAGCTACATAATTACTAAAATAAATGCTATTTAATATCCCTATCTGGTAGGCTGTGCTTAGTGGTATGATCAGAACATCAGGTGAGTCCCAAAGGGGGACCTCTGTGATCCAACCCACCACAATGTAATACACCCATCTTTGCATGTATTTACTTGCCAAAGTAAAGTTTCCACTTCATGCATCTGATGAAGTGGGTTCCAGGCCACAAAAGCTTATGCCCAAAAGTTTTTGCAGAAACAGATTAACACCACTACCCCTCTGATACTGGTACCTTTTCAGTAGAGACATTGCATGAGCTTCAGGCTGTCAGCCAGGAAAGGCGTATACAGGCAGTCCCCGAGTTACGCGGATCCGACTTACGTCGGATCCGCAGTTACGAACGGGGCCCTCCCTCTCCCTGGTCTCCAGCAGACCAGGGAGAGGAAGCAAAGCGGCGGAACACGCGGGCAGCGGACAGGGCTGTCCGCTGCCCGCGCGCTCCACGGCTTTGCTCTGCTTTGCCCCCTGTCCCCTTGGTCTGCAGACCAGGGGGACGGGGGGCAAAGCAGAGCAAAGCCGGGGAGCACGCGGCCAGCTGACAGCCCAGACGCGTCTGGGCTGTCCCGCTGCCCCCGTGCTCCGCGGCTTTGCTCCGGACGCCTGTGGTACAGCAGCTGGGGCGCTGCCAGTTGGTCCCGTAGCGCTGCTCTGGGCGCTACTGGACCAACCCGGCAGCACCCCAGCTGCTCTGCCCCAGGCGTCCTGATTCAGCCGCTGCTGAAACTGATCAGTTTCAACAGCAGCTGAATCTGGACGCCAGTTCTGACTTGCATACAGATTCAACTTAAGACCCCCAGGCATCCCCAAGTCAGCTGCTGCTGAAACTGATCAGCGGCTGATTCCAGGAAGCCCGGGGCGGGGGCTTCCTGTAGTCAGCCACTGGTCAGTTTCAGCAGCGGCTGACTTGGGGACGCCTGGGGCAGAGCAGCTGGGGTGCTGCTGGGTTGGTCCAGTAGCGCCGCCGCTCCTCGGCGCTACTGGACCAACCCGGCAGCACCCCAGCTGCTCTGCCCCAGGCGTCCTGATTCAGCCGCTGCTGAAACTGATCAGTTTCAACAGCAGCTGAATCTGGACGCCAGTTCTGACTTGCATACAGATTCAACTTAAGAACAAACCTACAGTCCCTATCTTGTAGGTAACCCAGGGACTGCCTGTATAATGACCCTAGTAGCATGAGTAGCTGCCTGAGCATTTCCACCTCTCCATAGTTGAAGATCAGTCTCCCTCCTTCTCCCCACTATGAAGAATCCCATACAGTTGATTCTGCATGGCTCCTAGGCCATTCCTTTATTTGCAGGAAGCTGGTGATTTTTAAAGGGGAATTTTCATATGAACATGCAAAATTCATAACTAGGGTAGCATTCTTCAGGTTGTTTCACTCTTCATAATGGTTAGCTGACATTACTTCTGCTAACTACAGAATCTCAAACCCAGGTTCTCTATGGCTTCTGAAGGCCTCTGTGGCCATTTTAGTAGGGCGTGTTGCTTGTGCACTCTCTGCACATATTCTGAGTATAAACAGAGGGCTTCACACTGGGGTTACCAATCTGACACTGTTCACCTCGTGCACAAATATGATCCATAAATGTGTCTGAGGAGCGGGTGGCATGAGGGTGAGAAGAAGCTGGGGAGTTGCAGGGAAACAAATGGAACAAAAAATAAGCTAGAAAGAGGTACAGTAAAACTCCATTAGTCCGGCATCCAATGCTCCGGCAAGCCTGATGGTCTGGCACCATCAGGAACCTGGAATGCTCTGGCTGCCGGACAATTGGAGTTGTTCTGCGCCTGGCTTCCCCGATTCAGCCACTGCTGAAACTGACCAGCAGCTGAATCGGAGAAGCCGGGGGCAGAGCAGCTGGGGTGCTGCTGGGTTGGTCCCGTAGTGCTGCCCCTCGGGGCTGCGGGACCAACCCGGCAGCACCCCAGCTGCTCTGCTGTAGGCGTCCCCAATTCAGCCGCTGCTGAAACTGACCAGTAACGGCTGAATCGGGGATGCCTGGGGCAGAGCTGGACTATCAGAAGGGGGGGCTATGAGGGGTCTGGGGTGGCATCCCCCACCCCACTCCAGACCCGTCATAGTCCCCCCTTCCGATAGTCCGGCATATCTGATAGTCTGGCACCCCCTGGGTCCTACAGGTGCCAGATTATCGGAAGTTTACTGTACATGTATTCAAAATTATTTTGAGGTAGGTACAATGGAAACCCCTAATGTTGATTCTGTTTCAATGGAGATATCATTTTAGGGCCAAATCCATGTCCTGTTGATGTCATGGGGAGCCATGCCATTAACTTCTGTGGAACCAGGGTGCGCTCCTTACAATGTTTGCTCACACATACATTACTTGCAAGCATGAGTAGTCTGGAACCAGAGTTATCTGTAGCAGTACCAGTTTTTCCAGAATCTTTATTTCCTGTCTTTTTTTCCCGGGTTCTCTTTGTTTATGGTTTTGTTCTTTCTAAAATCTAATAAAATGTGAACATTGATAATGGCTTTTGTCAGTTAATGAGCAACAGCTAGAAGAGGGGATGGCATGTTGCTGCCTTTCTGTCAGCTAACGAGGAGCAGATGGTATAGATTTGGAGCATGGCACATCATCTGAGTTAACTGCTTGACATGACAGGAGCCAAAATCAGGGATGTACCAAATACACAAATTGCAGCGTCTCCTTCATTCCTCTTACTACAAAAGAGCTGTTTCTTTTCTGCCAGGTCTGTGTATGAAGCACTTTTTCTGTGAACCAACAGTGACACCCAGTGACAAGTCAC